GGTATTCAACCCTGTTTTTTATTTGTTTATTTTTCCTTGCATAAATTTTTTTAAAAGAAACTATTACATATGTTTTTCTCCGTCCAGTTAGCGTACTACCAAAATAGCTGGGCAACAGTAGATTTTAAAAATGAAGAGCCAATGAATGTTCCCCCGACTACCGGGGGAAATGTCTTATTTTAACACCACTCAAACGGTAAATTCCCCGGTATTTCACTAGTGCATAAATGCTTTGATACTGGACAATATTTTGCCGTTAATACTAATAGCGCTTTCTCGGCTCACGCGACTCCTAAAGTAAATAATAAATTTTCTCTGCTTTCTCAATGTGTTCGTAACTTGAACGACGGTTAAAAGTTGGGCCTAGCATATATACTAGCAATAAGTTTACCTGTGCAACGATGCATGATTTTCCCACTCAAATCAAAAAATACGGGATCGCAATTTTTATCAGCCTGGCACTTGCTATAGGCGTTGTCAAGGCAGCCAAATTCTTCACAAGGAACAAAGCCACAGGAGATTTCTGGGTCTTTATGAGGCATTAGGTCGATTGTGACATAACCTGTTAAATATAATATTTAATATTTATGTTTCTTATTTTTCAACAGAAACTTCTCCTACGGAAAACAAATTTAGCGTTTTATCGTTTACTGGACATAGACATAAGCATTAACACAGCGGTTCATCAGAATGATATAAAGCGTGTTCTCACTCGAAACTGATAAGCACATGAAGAACAGTTTGAAATATTTTCACTTGACGTGAGAGTAATAGGTTTTTAAAATCACCTAGAAAMACGGGCTTTCTCGTTCATTATTATGCCTATTACTAGTATTTACATACTTAGTCCCACTGCATGTACAGCTTTGTTCTCTTTATGTTGATGCTAATGCTCATGGCTTTGTCTATGTCTAGTGAAAGCCAGCTTTGAACGATCAGAACCTCAAATATTCTGAGGCGGCCAATGAAAAAGTCCTGCCAGTTCTTGATTAGACCTGGCTTCAACCTCCATTTTATTRAACGTCCATTTAGGACAATGTTGAGGGTGGAGKTACTATTTTATTTCCATCATACTGATGATTTATTTTCGAATTTATTTGTAAGTTGAGCATAAGTGTAACCAAGAAATGGTTGCCAGGGCAACAGATTGCGATAACAAAAAGGTATGCAGCTTTAGAGGCGAGTGATTTAGTACTTTAAGTGACAGTAAAACAATGGCTATAGTGTCAAATGAATAGGTCATACTAATTTGCTCGCTTGGTTTGATACTTTTGGACTTACTATGGAAAAGAAACATTACTGAAGCGGTCACCTACGGGACTTAGTCAAGTGGCCGCTTAATTTATACATGTTGCCGCTTGATAGAGGTTTTATAGGCAAAATTCAGTCAAGAGTTTGCATGGACTCTTCCACACAATCTCCTGCTTTTGGTTTTTGGCCGTGAAGTCTGCAAATTGTGCAGATAATGTTACAGCCAAACCTACTGAAGCGTTCCTATCGAGGTTGGAAGGCTCGATTTATTATTCCAAATTTGGTTCCAAATTTATATTTAAACGTGCAAAAACAAAACCGACAATGTAAATTTCAAATCTGACGTCGATTTGAACCTCGATTCCTGATTGGATTATTCCAANGAAAGCCAGCTTTGAACGATCAGAACCTCAAATATTCTGAGGCGGCCAATGAAAAAGTCCTGCCAGTTCTTGATTAGACCTGGCTTCAACCTCCATTTTATTAAACGTCCATTTAGGACAATGTTGAGGGTGGAGGTACTATTTTATTTCCATCATACTGATGATTTATTTTCGAATTTATTTGTAAGTTGAGCATAAGTGTAACCAAGAAATGGTTGCCAGGGCAACAGATTGCGATAACAAAAAGGTATGCAGCTTTAGAGGCGAGTGATTTAGTACTTTAAGTGACAGTAAAACAATGGCTATAGTGTCAAATGAATAGGTCATACTAATTTGCTCGCTTGGTTTGATACTTTTGGACTTACTATGGAAAAGAAACATTACTGAAGCGGTCACCTACGGGACTTAGTCAAGTGGCCGCTTAATTTATACATGTTGCCGCTTGATAGAGGTTTTATAGGCAAAATTCAGTCAAGAGTTTGCATGGACTCTTCCACACAATCTCCTGCTTTTGGTTTTTGGCCGTGAAGTCTGCAAATTGTGCAGATAATGTTAAGGGTACATAATCACAAAATCATCATTATATTCTTAGAAGGACAGTAACACAAGATTAGCGYTGTGTAAAATCCAAACAGCTGTTATGTGACAATACTGTACGATGTAAGGAACTTTAAAAAAATGTTGATACATCAATATTTCAGTTTTCTAGTTGACTACTTAACGAAAGTGAAAAAAAATGCAAATTTAAAAATTGGGAAGTGTATATTGTTACCACGTCCGCTTAATAGCTTTGACCGCTATTACCATTATTCAAGTCCTGGACTCCCTCTCCCCGCGAGTCGTGGAGCGTGTCGAAAGGGAGTCCAGGACTGGACTAATGGTAATATATTTACCATTTGTTTTGACCAAACATTTCTTTGTGTTACACACTCGAACACCAATCAAAAGATCGTTGTCGCATTCTTTTTTGTGCTTCTTCTCACTGATACAATGACGTACTCTCTTTCTCCATCCTCCACCACATGTCTTAGAACAGGGGGAAAATTTAGACCACGGACCGTAGTTTTCCTCACCTTTGAAGAGAAGCAAACCTATTTATTCTATGCTCGGACAATCTTAGTTAATATAATGAATTATTCTCTAATAGATTAATTCGTTTTTCCACATTTCTATCTCTATGAAGTCATATTGGTGGACGTCAGAGTGACAATTACATATGGGTTCCCTTATAAGGCAATGATTRCAATTCATGTTGTCCTTCTTAAAACCACATTAGGATAAATGCTTTCATCTTAAAACAGAAATATTCTATAGACTTCTTGCACGTGACGTCAAAAAAGCCTTCATCTTAAAAATGATATTGCCCTCTTGTGCAAAAACTAGAATCCATTTTTTTGTCCTCCAGTAAGAGCTGCATTCCCATTAACTGCAAGGGGTCTATTTAGTGCGAAAACACTGTTGAATATTTTACACAAATATTACTCAGATCAGTGACTAACCTGGACAAGCAGGCAATGTGCAATGCCTCCAGTTGATAACTGGTTCTTCGCATACAATGTTTTCCTGACATGAGCACGACCTTGTTCTGAACTTCCG